TAGATATGTCTCCTAGTATTGTGCCGGAGACGTCATCGATTGGAATGTCTTTTTTTTTATCACACTCGTCAAGATTAAGGGTGAATAGAAACGTAGGTCCCTTTTTCTTTAGATAAGAGTATCGTCTGTAACCAGGATATCCAGCTGCAGGACTATATTCTCCATTGTCTATGCAGCTCCTTAAACCGCTGAAGTACGACTGCATCAGTTATCGAGACGCTACGGCTTATTATAACCACACTTATTTAATTCTGTTGCAGGTAGCTTTTATTTGATGTCGACGCCACGTAGCGGATTTTACTGAACTAGAGTGAAAAGCAGGCTTATTTTTGCAAAACTTTGAGCTTATTTATTGCTATCGTTATTACATTTTTTAAGATAAGAACTATACTAAAACCATCTAGGAAGTATCATGAATCAGTTTGCAAAATTTCAGCAAAATCGGTTCAGTAGTTTTCGCGGTTAGCGATTTCAACGGTTTTAGCAATTTTACTTTNCCCCTCTACAGGATTCACGCCCCAACTGCAAGTTGGACGCCAACACAGAGGGGACTAATCGCCATCCTCGTTTGAACACCCTCGTGGAAAAAATAAATTGTTATAAGCGGCTTTTCAGGAGGTAGGTAGCTTTGAACTGATAAGGAAAGAAATATTATAAATGTAACAGCATTTTTAAGATTATAGAATCTTAAAATTTATGATACTACATCCTAAGGTGTGACGAATTTGCTACCTGCGTTTTATAACCGAGTGTATATGGCCATAGGTTTTCAAAGTATAGCACGCATGTCAATAAAAACGTTTACCGTAAAAAATCTGTTTTAGACGTATGGTGGTAAAGAGTTATGCTCAATTTGGTCTTTAGTATAACGTTTCTTAACGCTGTATTCATTTTTCTGTGTACCCTCGACCGAAGAAGGTATATTTCTCTTTTAGTGATGGAGTATATTTTAGATATCCAGGGTTTTAAGACTGCAAATAATAAATTTTTCTTTAAAGAAATTTCACATGTAAACTTGATATCAAGGGTCTTAAAAAAAAAAGTACCTAGACGAAACATATCAAGAAAAGAGCCTTATCAAATGAAAAATACATAAGGAAAAAAGATTTTTAACTTTAATCGTAACAATTTTAAAAAATTAATGAAACACATCATGAATTTTATCTTTAGTATCCATGGCTTTTATAATGCTGACAAATACTTCACACCGAAATAATTTTCAGTGGTTTCCTTGCAAGAAAACGTGGTTGGCCATTGGATAGACAAGCCACCTTACATTTTTAATGATTCACCGTCAGATATGAAAAAACATAATAATTACTAGACGGTAGAAATCCATGAAGTCAAATGGTTTGAGGGTAATGTTACTTCAAATGACCTAAAGCATCATCTAATAACTATTGCCAAGAACCTTAAAAAATGTTATACTTACGGAAGTGATAAAGCTGAGTTTGTAAGTCTAATCCTAACGCGCAAAGTTCACGATTTGTCCCAAATGCATCGTCCTTCCAAATACTTCAAAGACCAAGTCTCTTCTTCAGTATGGCTTACCCACATGGGCAAAACCATTTAAAAAAAAAAAAGCTATTTTGTGCTCTACATAAAGCACATTTATTAAAAAAATTGTTACCATTAAGGGCATTATTTTATTAATTAATAATTATTAAGATAATCCTAATGCGTTAAATTCAATCGTTTCACATAAACTTGATTTTTTCGTGTCGCGCACAGCTCTGATTTTAAAACTTGGCGCCTGATAGTACCAACTACCACCTGCTAGGTGGCAACTACTAGTTTTTACCAAACATTGCAAGTAAAAAGGTAGTTTATAGTATGTAAGAAGGTCTGTGCGATGTCTTGCAATCATCCACCCAGATAACTCGATCCAAACCAATGCTAGGTTCTCGCTCACTGAGGCCTACGCTACGGCAGTGGATAGAGGACCAATTAATTTAAACAAAAAACTTATGTTAATTGTCACATTAAAACTCAAAGTATTAAATCTTATTCAACCTCCTCTCGCCATCATTATCCACAATACGAGGCAATGCTGTCCAACTACTGGAAAAACTGGATGAAAAATCGAGGCTCTTTTGCGTTAGTAACTGCATCTCATGGTAACAGATTCGTCTCAACCACTATAAGACACTGTTAAACCATTCAACAGTGACACAAGATTCAGCAGAGGTATCAAAATCCTGCTGAAGCACTGCCTCTCCACGCCTGCAGTCTCCAGCATAGGATGTTTACTGCTGCTTAATACTGATGGCCAAACTACCTATCAGTGACACCATCTCTAGCAGTGGTATTGAAAACCAGCAAAAGTACTCTCTCACTTTGCCTAGAGTCTCCAATCCAGAGTTCTCTCCGTGGATTTATATCTACGGCCAACGAGATTACCAGAAAGGGTATTCTCGTTTACCATCATTCCTTATCGTTGTGCTAAGCCACCCACTCCAATAGATTGCTTATAAAAATTTAGCGCCCAAGGTGGGGCGTACTTCAAAGAGTTCTCTACTGCTGCAGGGAGGTGTCCACGAGCCTTAGAGTCTATCGTCACCACCGAATAACATACACCTGATCTGGAACCAACAACACTCCTTGTAGATGGGAAGAAGCATCGAGTGGCGATTTACATCCCTAACCTATAAAACTCATCATTCAGCACGAGATAGATATGAACCTGAAGGACTAACTAACTTTGGAACTCGTTAGCACCAGTTACATAGTAGGTTCTTGCACCTTGCAACGAGCATCTGAAGAAGATGAGAACAGATATCAGCCTCTGTAGAAACCACTGATAACATTGCATCTAAAGTACCCTGATCCCAGCTATTATTGGAACTCAACTTTTTTACTCAAGAAGCAGAGAGTTAACAGATGGCATTGTTATCTTTCAAGAAACGTGCTGAAGCCTCCACCCTCTCATGTCAACCAACTCGTCAGGCACTTTGGCCCACACCCATGCTAGTCCGCACAAAGAAGACTGACTGCCGTTTCTGCTCGAATACCTGCTTTGACACACTACTGACGTTATTCTACCTGAGTTTATCCACCCAGAGAAGACTGATCGCCATCCACGCTCGAACATCCGCTTCGACACACCAGCATCAGTACTTCGTATCACGCCGATGCTCCACTTCTGACGTCACGCTCCAACCCTACGTCAGACGTTACACCACCCAGGATGGACTGCACGGAGGAGACTGACCACCACCCACCCTCGAACCTCACTTCGACATATCGGCATCGGTACTTTGCATCACACCAAAGCTTTTCTTCAGGACTCAAGCTCCAGCTCCACCTCGGGTAACGCACCGATCTTAGCTCGTCCACATAGGAGAGAGTGATTGACATCCTTGCTCGCTTCGACACACCAGCATTAGTACTTTGCACTACACCGATGCTCCTCTCCGAGACTCAAGTTCATACCCTACGTCAGACTACGCACCCCATATTTAATCCACCCAGAGGAGACTGACTGCCGTTCATGCTCGAACAGCTGCTTCGACAAATTGGTATTAGTACCTCTTATCGCACCGATGCCCCTCTACAGGATTCACGCCCCAACTGCAAGTTGGACGCCAACACAGAGGGGACTAATCGCCATCCTCGTTTGAACACCCTCGTGGAAAAAATAAATTGTTATAAGCGGCTTTTCAGGAGGTAGGTAGCTTTGAACTGATAAGGAAAGAAATATTATAAATGTAACAGCATTTTTAAGATTATAGAATCTTAAAATTTATGATACTACATCCTAAGGTGTGACGAATTTGCTACCTGCGTTTTATAACCGAGTGTATATGGCCATAGGTTTTCAAAGTATAGCACGCATGTCAATAAAAACGTTTACCGTAAAAAATCTGTTTTAGACGTATGGTGGTAAAGAGTTATGCTCAATTTGGTCTTTAGTATAACGTTTCTTAACGCTGTATTCATTTTTCTGTGTACCCTCGACCGAAGAAGGTATATTTCTCTTTTAGTGATGGAGTATATTTTAGATATCCAGGGTTTTAAGACTGCAAATAATAAATTTTTCTTTAAAGAAATTTCACATGTAAACTTGATATCAAGGGTCTTAAAAAAAAAAGTACCTAGACGAAACATATCAAGAAAAGAGCCTTATCAAATGAAAAATACATAAGGAAAAAAGATTTTTAACTTTAATCGTAACAATTTTAAAAAATTAATGAAACACATCATGAATTTTATCTTTAGTATCCATGGCTTTTATAATGCTGACAAATACTTCACACCGAAATAATTTTCAGTGGTTTCCTTGCAAGAAAACGTGGTTGGCCATTGGATAGACAAGCCACCTTACATTTTTAATGATTCACCGTCAGATATGAAAAAACATAATAATTACTAGACGGTAGAAATCCATGAAGTCAAATGGTTTGAGGGTAATGTTACTTCAAATGACCTAAAGCATCATCTAATAACTATTGCCAAGAACCTTAAAAAATGTTATACTTACGGAAGTGATAAAGCTGAGTTTGTAAGTCTAATCCTAACGCGCAAAGTTCACGATTTGTCCCAAATGCATCGTCCTTCCAAATACTTCAAAGACCAAGTCTCTTCTTCAGTATGGCTTACCCACATGGGCAAAACCATTTAAAAAAAAAAAAGCTATTTTGTGCTCTACATAAAGCACATTTATTAAAAAAATTGTTACCATTAAGGGCATTATTTTATTAATTAATAATTATTAAGATAATCCTAATGCGTTAAANAATAATACCCTGAATAATAACAAGCCTCCTGTTTTAGAGAGTTTGTAATAAATTTGTTAAGCAGTGGCTGAGCTACATGAGTCGAAGAAGTTTTTACTCTCGATACAAAGGTTCGCGATCATTTATTCATTTATTCTCGATTGATAATGATCCACGGTTTCATGCATACTCACACTCATACTTCTTGAGTTAGTGTATTTTCACCGTATACATATTTTCACTTTACTTCACTGTAGTTTCGTGGTCTTAAGTTGTGGCGTTTATATGGCATCGGGACCACCGGGTGGCTATGCTGAGACTTCACCTAATTTCTCTGAATTGTTTCGGTATGGTCTCATGGACGTTTCCACTTTGCTCATTTCATAGGCATCGGTTGGCTCGATTTCCTTATCGGGTTTTGCAGGAGGCTGTCGGTCTACAGTAAACTGTGCAGTTTTCGATGCCAGCAGGTCGAAGTTTGCATTTTGACGTCAGCAGCGATCGATGTTCTAGGTGGTGATCTGAAGCTTCATGGTAGTTCAGCCCGCAGAGACCAGGTAGACGTATCTCGCTACATGTGCCATATAGAATAGATGCCACTGTCAATATGCGGAGCTGTTCGTCTGAGCTAGCTTGGAATGGTTTAGCTGGCTCGTCCATTTGGTTCACATTTTTTTTTTTTTTTTTTGTCAGTCCTATAATCTGACTTGAAATAAGAGAGCGTGGATCCCGAAGAGAAGCATCAGCGTGAGATGCAAAGCACTAATGCTGGTGTGTTGAAGCCGGTGTTCGAGCGTAGACAGTGATCAGTCTTCTCTGTTCAGGCAAGTTTAAGATGTTGCGTCATCTGACATGGAGTTGCTGCGAGAGTCCTGAACTGACGCCAGTGTGTTGAAATGGGTTGTTCGAGCATGGACAGCAATCAGTCCCCTCTGTTCAGGCGCCCTTATGGGCCCTTATGCAGTATTGTTAACACAAGCGTTGTTCACAAAATAATACTTCTACGCAAGAGAAAATTATATTTTTTTTCAAAAGTTCATATCTGCTAATGCGAAAAAGCGTTATTTCTTGAATAACGCTTGCATTGAAAATACTAAATAAGGGTACAGGTAGCACATGCAAACTTAACCAGTGCTTGTAAAAATAAAAAGGGTGGGACACGCTGCCAGAAGGGCCACCAATGGATCGGGTGTTGTACTACGATTTGCTGAAATGGCCATAGCTTATTTATTGGCTTGCAAACTATTTTAAGCTGACATTTTATTTCTGTTACGGTTACTAATTAATTGTTACAGTTATATTTAGTTTAGAATGTTAGACTTGCAAGAATAACTTAATGAACACCTTTTTAACTGTTATAAGATTTTTCCTGAAGATGTAACAATATCTAAAAACTTTTATTTATTTCAGAAAGAACGAAAGGTACTCAGTTATATGAATTTTCAGATAGAAGTGCTTTAACTTTATGCAGTGGCATCGGAAACACCAGTATTGATAAGGTATGTACGAAGAACTTATAAGCTTATATATAAAATATTTAAACGATATTTTAATGCAAAGTATTGAAGAAATTAATTCGAAAAAATTGTAATAATATTGAGGTAAAAGCCAGTCGTAATTTATTTTTAACAAGTTAACTAATCAAGAGAAATATTTTTTTTTTCTTTTCAACCAATGGACAGTGTGTACTAGGGTTCTCTAGTATGAGATTGTTCTAATATAAGATCTTATAGCAGGTAAATAGAACTATAAATATAAATATACCTTTATTGAAACGATACTGTGGACGCAGGTGATGCAATTATCGTTAAAATAAGTAAACAGACATCAATGAAAGGTGGTTTTCATAAATATTCATATTAAGTAAAAAAGCAATTAAGATCAATTTATTATGGCACCACAAAATATAAAAAAAATGTAAGCTAATTAGAACAAGACTAAGCGCTTTTATCGAATCTTCCGATGGTTTCAAAAGAATCTCCTACCAACAACCCTGACAATATCTTTAACATCATGGTCATATCAATCACATACGCGCACAAACTAATGTCTAGTTTATATTCATTACCTAAAATATATTCAATAACTGTAAAGAAGACCAATCAAAGCTGTGATTCGAATGTGAAAGCTGCAACCACTGCAAAAACAGCTGCAGTAGAACACGGTCCATTTCACACTTAAACGGTCAAGTGAGTATCTAAATTATGCCTCTGCTACTGAATAGTTCTTAAAAAGTGCGGTCCAATTTTAGTATCGTCCATTTTGAGCTGGTTCACCACGTGTATAACTGTTTTTATTTTTTTTTTTTAATAAAAATTCTGCTGTGATTAGTTCTTTTAGATCACTGATCATCAATCTAATATTCAAATAAGGAAAAAATTGATAGCTTCGTTCCCTTTACCGCCCTTCAAAGCACCCCAGAAAATTGCTGTTTTCGTAAAATTTTGTAAATCCATATCATGCCTTTAAATTCTGCTGTGGTAGGTAAGAGAAATAAGCACCTTAATGCAACGTTTAATGAGATAGAAATCGAGGTATTTAAAAAAAGCAGCATCTGTTGACTATTCCATTACATTTTTATTATATGACGACATTTATTTTCATTACTCATAATCTGAATCATTTTTCAGAATCGGTACACTAGACATGCATTTCTTATTTTGTTAAGTCTCTGTGTCACTACTTTTTTCTTTTTCATCCACGACATTAATCAGGTCCATTGATTTTTATTTATCATTCAATTTTTACAACTAACAGTGTTAAACATTGGTTTATTAAATTTAAGAACAAAAATTTTTTGGGGTGCTTTCGGAGAGGGTTAAATTATCAGTTTTTCCGTCATTTGGGCGTCAGATCTATGACATCAGCAACCCAAAAACTCTACTAGAGCACATTTTTGTGGTAAAACATTGAAGTATAAAATTTTACGACAGCAGAAATTTTTTAGGGTGCTCTACGAGGGAGGGGGGTGGAGGTGTTGGTTTTTTTTTACTTGGACGTCAGATCTATGATCAGTGACCCAAAAAACCTACTAGAGCAGATTTTCGTGACAAAACGTCGATTTATAAGATGTTACGACAACAGCAACTTTCTGGGTTGCTTTAGGGGAGCAAGGGTTAAATTATCAGTTGTTCTTCATTTGGACGTCAGATTCAAGATCAACAACTGAAAAAACCTACTAGAGCAGATTTTTGTGGCAAAATATCTGTGTACTCAATTTTAACACAAAAGCTACTTGTAAGAGTGCTTGGGGGTGCTCAAAATCACACCTATTGATTCATTCTTTCTCTTAAGGTGAAGGTTAGTGGGGATAAATGTTCCAGGGGGTCTAAGAAATACGTACCAACAAGAATTTTTAAAATCATTGCTTGTCTGCAACTTTTCCACATTTTCCGGCATATTAACTGCACTGCTGAAAAATAGTTAAATCAACGTGCATACCATTATTTGCATTAGTATTGGTATCTCAGTACCTTAGAGCATATACTACTGGAGTGAGCATGCAGGCAGCTAAGAGCGTGACAGGGTGACCGATTGTATAGGTACTACTTCTCTATCCAAGCTCAGTACCTACGATTATTAAGTAACCAATTCAATTATACGAAAAAATCTAGAGCAAATACCGTTATTTGAGGCAGTATTAGTGAATTTTAGACGTATCTTTATGTAAGATAAAATTCATCCTCTTTACTTAACTCTTAAAAGTTACACCTTTACTTGTCACTGTACTAGTAGCTTCTAGATTCCGAATGGGACAGGATTCAGTACGCCGCTCCAGGATACATAGACAAACCTTAGGCACGCTGCGAGCATTCGCATTAGGATACTGCACAGCAGTTGCTTTAAGTTGTTTCAAAAAATTTGTAGCCTCTTTGCAAATACCGCACCATTTTATTTAACTGTCCTGTGTACCCGCGTCCTACCTAAGCGCCCATCGTGAGTCCTGAGTTATTAAGCAAAAGCTAGGACTTTAATAACTTGTCACACTAACATAACACTTTTATCGTCATTAATTGCTCTAAGCGAAAAAAAAAATCACTAAAAAGTGCTTCCGAAGATGCGTGTTAAGAATTTTAATTTCATTGAAATTTTCAATTATTGTATAAAAACACATTATTTGCTTAATTCTCCATGATCTTATTATTCAAAAGAGCTTATTAAGTGGGGATATTAAAAAACTTTTGAAGAGAATAGTAGTGGTAAGAATCTTTGAGGTAGTGGCAGTGAGGGTACTACACTACAAAGGAAGCTATAGTCAGACGTTAAGCACATTTATTCTCTAGCAACGATAAGGTAAAGTATGTTGCATAAGTGAATCAGTAGTTATTTCGATAGCGACGTAAAACATGAGAGTTTTTCGTCGGAAAATGATAATAATAAAAAATAAGAATCTTGCCTTAAAAAATTAGAGGATACAAAGTATTGAGATAGCAAAAAGTTTGTTTTTGATCGAAAAAAATATAAACAATTGAAATAAATGGGTTTTGTAGTTGATATACAAGGCCTTAGACGCCGGTCAATAGCGTTTTCTTAAAAGACTAAGCTATAGTTATATTAGCTAGAGACATTAAGCTTCTTGTATTAACATTTAAGCAACCTTTTTTCTTATACAGGCTCACTGATAAAATTAAAAAAAAAAATTACTTGGCTGCAATGGGATTATCATGATATACTATAGGATACACGTGTGGTTCCACAAAATGTCATTGGTAAAGTCCTGAGAAAGTTTCTTAATAATGTACGCAAAGTAGATGTGGGGGCCTTTGTGCAGAAAAGTTGTTTAGAGTGATTTAAATTTTATGTTTGTAATATTAAAGAGTTTGGTTTCTCACCGACGGATAAAATTAGAATTGTAAAAGTTTTTAAGAATTATAACGGGTCATAAAAGTCCACTTGAGCTCTACACAATGTCAACCCGTTTAAACAATATATTTAAATAGTAGACTTTATAGAATAAAGGTGAATAATAACTGAAGAGGTAAAACGATAGTTGTACCTCACGGATGAGAGCGTGGCTTAGGCTCTTACTAATGTAAGGGAGCGGGGATCTCTACTGTCATAATAGTACCACAAAAGTTTCCAATCAAAGGTAAGATATTTCTACAAGCATGTTCTACAAGGTCAGTATATTGATATAACGGGTAAACCACCTCAGAAAAATACGACGAGGATGATGCAGTACCTCTGGGGCTGCAAGGCCAAACTCTGTACCTCCTCAGTAAAGTGCCGCTGTACCTATGAAGCTATGAGGCCTGGCCTCGTATCCCATGAAAGGAGTTGCCTAATACCTGTGGGAGTACGGAGCCTGGCCACATATCCCTATAGTTCACCTACAATTTTCCATTTCTTCGATAAGGTTATGCTCTCTTCTTTTCGCTAACAGATAAGAGAGACTCAGCTACTCATCAAATATATCCTTAACTTTTTATTGTTTTAAATAACAGTTTAATCGTGATCAAACGTTAACTGTAAATTGATAAACAGTTTAATTTTTTTAGTAAACAATTTAATAAGGAAAACATTAAGGGTAAGGTAAAAATTGCAAAACTATTTTGAATTCTGAATGAGGTATAAGACTTTTTTGAAATTTTTGACTACAAAATAAATTTAAAGCAGCATAACAATTAATAAATAAAAAAAATCACTTTGCTAATTTCTGAGATGAAAGGGTTTTAAACGAATATCTTATTATTTCGTTAATAATATGGATAAATTTCTACACATAAAAGGATGATTCTACTGGATTCTTCCTTTCTCATCATTGCGTAAGATGAGTTTGTAGATGTATTTATTTTATAAAATAATAACTTTAGTTCTATTAGTCAAATTGTAAGATTCTCTTGACGATTTTTCCTAATCTTAGATTAGAAATATTTATAGTAAGGTGCTTTATACAACTAAAAAATGTAATCCTTTTTTCAATTCCTTCTGAAGATCTCCTACGACTATTTTATTACTGAAAGCAAGAGATTGCAATTAATGACTATAAAGTTAAATATGTTTTTGCAAATATTTTAACAGATTAAAGATTTTTTTAATTACAAGTCAACTACAGAAACATTTAAGAACAGGGATTGACGGACTAAATTAATATAATAGTGTTAGGGCAAAGAATGAATAAAATAAAACTGCCGTAAACATGAGAATATTATAAAACTAAGTCACATAGTCCCAGCTGCTTAACCTCAAATACCAAGTTCTACATTGTCTACCCAAAAAAATGTACCAGACAAAACTTAACCTCTTTAGTTTTATAAGCTATAAAAGTACATGCTCTTCTTTTTAGGAAACATATAGAAGAAAAGTTTATTTGACTATGGATTTGTTAGTTTTGAGAAGGTAGATTCAGGTTCATCAAAATATTTTTCCTTACGCCTGCGCTGAAAATTCGTTGCAATGGACCCGATTTCGAGCTAGAAAAAGCCTCATATCAGTCCTGTCTGATGTGTGCAGAACCAAGTGCACAGGTATGTATAGTTATATATTATGTGAGGAGGAG